CTGCCGCTTCGTAGGGCTGCTGTGAACATCTAAATAATACTGTCAGCATAACGCAGAGAGCCGTCCATCAGACCGCACAGGCTCCTCTCCCCATTGGTGCTCACTCTGCCATAGAAATATGCCTTTCATAATCTGTTACAGTCCTTTCTCAACTGATGCTCCATGCAATAATTTAGTTGGAATCATGGAACTTCACTAACAGAACATGACCTCGTTAATTAAGAGGCAGTGGCTCCCACATAAGAACCATTCAGCGTCCTTGTTACAAAATGTGGAACCAAAGTGTTTGGGATGCCATTAACACCACCACCATTTTAGGATGTGTATCACCAGCTCCCTAAGTTTGGCATCACTTAGATCGCATTTGTTTTCCAGCTCATAATTGCTATGTTCTTCCAGAATAAGAACATAAAGAGCAACTTTTAACAGATCATGGGATAATAATTCTTTTACTGCCCCTCTAACGCTACCACACACATTAGTTCAGAGCGTTTGAAGCACAGTCCGCCATTTGAGTACAGGGATGTTTTACCCTAATTTCCTCTACAAAGATTATTCTTCCATTCCATTTAGTATTACTGTTTACCCTCCAACTGGATGAACTGCAGCTTCAGAGGCCCATGTCACGACATTTACAGCAGTGGCTGCACACAAGTCACAGAGAAGACAGGATCTTGAAACAGATCACACATTCTAAGATACACAGAAAGAAAAAAAAAAGCTACAGGAGAAAAATCTGTCCCTCTTCTGGAGGTGCCTATTATTTAGTGGAAAGTTGAGAAGTGGCTTTAAAAACATTGTATGAAGGTTCTGTTGAATTGAACACACTGAAATAGGGCTCAACGTGATCAGACAGGGACTTGTTTTCTTGTATGTCACTTGTGCAAAACACGTTTATGGTTGGATGGCCAGCTCGGGTATTGTGGGTTGGGGTTTTTTTTTTGTTATAACATTTATTACATGGTGCCCTCTCCACTACTATAACTTGCAGGGAAAAAACAGTGCTGAGTAGCTAACCTGAAAGGAAAGACTTCCAGAGGAGACAGAGAAAAGTATCAAGGGAGTAACTGCACAACAACAGTAATCAAAAAGCCCAATTTCTTCTTGTGAACACTGCTGCACCACTGTGACCTGCACCGACAGTGCCCCTGTGGTGTGGGTCACTACACAGTGGTATCGGAGCCAGGATTTGTGGTCTACATCACTGAAAGAGGTTTTAAATCATCCCTGCAAGAAAATAACACAGCCCTAAGCAGAAGTCTGAATCCACTACGCTGTGAAAGTGCCAGGAAAAGCCATTTGCACTATTTGAAGTAGCCACACGTCCAAACGCCTTTCCTCTTCAAAACACCATCCCAGAAAACGTTTACTTGAAATGTCCGTGTCTTTCTCTTCCAAACACACAAAAATATTTAAAGGGTCCAAATTACCTGTTACATTAGCAGAAAAATCACAGATTTGGTGTGAGCTGCTGCACTACTGTAGGCACGCACAGACCAGCTAAGAAATAACTGCTTATAAACACACAGTCAAGGGGACTCAAATTCCCCTTCGAAGGCTGCTTTAAAGATAAACTTCAATTGAAACTAATAAGCTTTCAAAACTGTTTTTAAAACAAAGCACTTTTCCCTACACGTCCTCCAGCATATTTCTTTTAGAAGATTTTTATTGGTTTATACAGGTTGAGAAAATTACTAAAAGCAAGACCAAAAAGGGATATTATGCTTTAACAAGGTTTGGGGGAGCCGGACGATAGAATGTAGTGATTTTGTCATCCTTGTAATGATTTTCTACCTTTGCATAAAATTTCTAGGTTTAATTTTTATTAAAGAAGGACATTTGCATTCGGAGGCTCTTCAAGACATTCTGTGCTGTGCCCTGTGGTTGCAGCACAGTCTAGACACGCATACATTTTATAGCAACTCTATTTCTGCATAGTTAGTGTTGCTCGATCATTTAAGCTGTAGCACTGCATGAGCTGCATACGACATGCCATGTGGTCTCCTAAAGGACAACTATTCCCTTTTTTAAAAAAGGAGGATCCAAGTCTTAGCGGGGAGCAGCAAGGAACCTAATAAGAGCCTTCTCCATAAATGTAATTTTTAATCACGTGCTTTTTAGGGTAAGAATCAAACCTCCTTACTTTTTCACTGGTGAAAATACTATAGACTCCCAAAGCTGGAAAAGCTCAACTTTGTCACAGTGATTTAGTTCCATTTTGTACTTCAATTGCTCAAAGATTCTGTCTTAATATAATGAAGTTCAGCGCTACACAGTGCAGCTATCATACTTGGGTTGAAAAGTCAGCCTTTGTTGTGCTCAGTAAGCACATACACAGTTTTCTGTCTTGAAGGTGTTTTTCAGATGAGAGATGTTATACAACATTTATTAAATAACCATTCATTTCTTTCAATCAAAAAGAGGCTGGCTCCCATGATGATTAATCCTTGATTGAGGTGCAAAGTGCAAGGTTTTTTCTTATTAGGCAGGGATTTTCGTTTTCAAGTGAAAGGTCATACAAACACGAAAAATATTACAATATTTGCACACTTTAGAATTCATATCACAGGACAACCCCTAACTAAAACAAAAATGTGTTTTCACCAAGAGCTAGAAGTACAAATGCTTACACTTTTTCATGCACTAATTTTTACTTTTAACTCATTAAGTTTAGAAATGCAGGTATATTTGTAGGTATATCCCACACCTCCTTTTGCTTTATATCAAACATTTACCTCATGATCAAATGAAAACTGAATTTCATCCAATTTACCCATGAAAAAGGAGTCAGTGGCATCACAGCGAATAGAACAACCAAATTCTGCACTGACTTCAGTAGAAGAAAGAGAGAAAAGAGAATTCAAATAACTGAACCATACAAATGGAAGCAGACTATATAAAGCAACATGAAAAAACTAACTGCTTGCTAGTCCTACAAATCAGTTTGTATGATCAGCAAGATGACTGGAACACAACTTCAGCATTTGTGAAATGAATCATAAATCTAGCCTCTCTGTCTTAAAAGTGTTTCTATTTAAAAGACAATGCAACAAAAAAAAGCACAAACACATTTGTATATAAAACCAGAAATACTGGCTTGAATATTATACTGTTAAAGGCTTGCTTTTCAGTTTACATTTCATATCAAACTTGAGCTATTTCAGTCTAAGAGTTAATCATTCAAGCATTTACTGATTAAGAAACCATTGATATAGTTGTCCTAAATCAACTCTGCTTGAATGATAAGTTATCAGAAAATTGTACAATCAAGTAGACATATTTATGGAAATCTGTGTGACATCTTTAAGGAATATAACAGTTGACAGCTTTGAACCAAGAGTGACAAGCAATCAGAGAAATTCTACCACAAAACGTCCAAAAAAGTCAACCTTTTAAAAGAATATGTAAAAATGTGTTTCAGGAATAAAATGTACCATAGTTCTTTAGTTAAAAAAAAATAAATAAATAACAGCACTTCTCTGTTGTCCTTAAAATAAAATCAACTAGCTTTCAGCATTGATAATTTTCCCATTAAATTCAATGAGTGTAGCACACAGCTTAGACAGGAATATGATGTTCTTTACGTATGCAAAGTTCTTAGTTTATTGTAACTATTTCTAGAATTTCTTTCCGCTACCCATTTTTTCCAGAGATTTCTGCCTAGAAGGCAGAAAGCTTAAAAGGACATAAGGAGAGAGAAGGTTGTTCAAACTCAATGCTTTGCTTTCATGCACATTGGAGGAATCTGCTAGCAGCACACTTTCACTTCATCAATTCAGCAAGAAACACAATGTGATTCTTCTGATTGCTCTTCAGTCGACATTCAGAAGCACCAGCCTGACAATTAGTACAGGCATGTGACACTGAACAAGTAGGGAGAAGGTAAAGGGAAAAGCTTTACTTAAAGCCAGCCATAAACTAAGAAGAACTTAACAAGTTCACTACAAGGTTTACTTGTAGAAGGATAATTAGAAAATACACTGCAATATATATGGAAATATACTACATGTACAGGACACCACCTCTCTGGCCACATAACTGATAAGACACCAACCTAAAATAAACACCTTAAAAATTTGGACATGGAATGCAGGTTGAATACCAAATAGCTGATTTCTCCACACCTGCCTACCACACTTAGGAAAATCAAGGAAATTCTTCACTTAACATCTCAACGCATCAGTCATGGCAATCAAAAATGTCTATGTGGATGGAGTCCGTGACTGAAACTTAGAAGGCTATTTCATTTCCAGCTCAGATTAGCATAGAAATTTTTTCTTATTCATCTCTCTCATCCTATCTTTTAATGGGGATAATTATGCTGACCTCCTTTATAAAGCACCTCAAAATCTACAGTTAAAAAAATGTTCTTAAACATTTACTTATAAATAGCAGCAATCATGTATCAAACTTCAGTTATCAATTTATCACAGGAAAGCAAGAATCTGATTTTTCCTCAAATTAGTACACAAAATTCCATTTTTTCACCAACATTAGCTTCCTAGAACTTTCATCATTATTAAAACAGCTGCACTGTACTAAGATGCACTAAAGAACCCGACTACCACTGACTGACAATTTTGAAGCCTTTCCAAGCTTCCATCAACAAAAGACCTAGGATTTTTTTTCACTGAAAATTTCCATGTTAAACAAAGGCAGTTTGGACCAGCTTCTGGCTTAGACGTTACTCTGAATCTGCAGCTTCAACTGTTGCAATGGCTCCGTTCTAAAACAGGCTGTAGCAAATGTATTTTGCTGTTACATCCATCAACCCCTCTCTCCTTACAAGGGTCGGTCAACAAGGGCACCTTTTCATCACCACCACTTATGCTACCAGTTCCCCTTCTTTCCTCCACATCTATATGTTACTTTCCTCCTTTCAGCAGCACACAATGCCCTTAATCATTCAGTATGTTTGATGTATTCGTTTTTATTTCATCTTGTGCTACTTAAAAATGAAAAAAAGGTGAGAGGGTTTGATATAAAATTAAGCTACTTACCAACTACTGCCAGATTGTGCTCTGAGCCACACGCGATCTGAAAAAGAAGTATGAATGAATAAAAGAGAACCCGCTTACCAGCAGGAAGACAACCACAATTATGACAGCAAATTAAAAATTAACCTGAAGCAAACAACTACAGTTTGTAGGATGCAAAATCAAGGTTGAAGTACTCTCACCTCTAAGTGAAATTTCATTTGTTGTCTCACTTAGAGGTTTAGTGGCAGGGGGGCATGTTTGTTTGTTTTGTTAATAAACAGGCATTTTCTTTTCAAAATGCAGTCACCACTGACATTCCAATCTCTAGGAGCAAGACTGGCCACAACTCTCCGAAAACATCACACCCTTGACAACATCCATTGGATCCAACAAGACTATTCATGGGCATAGAGCAAATGCAGATTAAGCTTTTGCAAGATCAGAGCCATAAAGAGACAGCTGGGTATCAAAAGGGTGATGAAATCTCCATTTCTCTTATCTATACTGGTTTTTATTCCAGATGATCCCCGAAGAACTGCACAAAGTGTACAGGCTCAGCATGATAAACCTGAAGTAATATGAACCCTATGGTCATTTTTCTAGAATGGAGAAAAATACCACGGAACTCAACTCTTCTATTAGCAGCAGGCTGATTTTATTTTTAAAAGCTGCAGAAAAAAAAGAAACCAGTGCAAACATTTTCTTCCAAGCTCATTAGTGATGGAAACCAGCTATGCAGTTCTTTTCAAAGCAAACTCATACTCAGTGTTTTTTTCTTTCCTCTTTGCAGCTGCTGTGAACATGTCAGATGTTTAAGTTGCTTTAGCATATATCACGTAGTCTCACTAAGTTTTCCTAAGTTCTTCACAAACAATGGTAACACAAGCACCAAGAGCAGCCCGCTGCCCTACTGCAAGGGCTTGTCTCTCCCATTGAACTCTTTTGCAATGTCACTAGTAGCACAATTGCCTGACATAACACAGACATCATATTACAGAAGGTTACTCTGCTGAGTGCAGAGTTTTAAATTAAAACACAAGCAATTCCCTCAAAATCCTGTATCTGGTTCATTGTCGTGCACCTACTTGCTCATTACACAAGCTACTGCACTGGAGAAAATTAATAAGCATATTCTTCTACTTCTTAAAAGCACATCTGCAATGATGAAATATAAACCAGATGTACATACTAAATCACATTAAAGAAATAGAAGTCCATGCCATCAAAACTTGATATTGTTTTGTGCATGTGTAACTTTATAGTTTTTACAACCAGAGAAACAGCTACCTTAATGTCTGCTCACTGTGGCCAAGCTTTACTGGAGTTTACTGGAAAACAGATAGCCAAGGCTTACACACAGACTAGCTTGAGCAATTGTGCTACAAATAAAAACTGCAATCCCTACTACTCACAATGTACCCACACCACAACTGTGACATGAAAACATTTGGTCGATGCCATCCTAACACAACAACAGCAAGACAAAACAGACTCTTTAGGATAGAGGCACTTAGCCAAGACATTAAAGCATTTGGGAAAAGGGGGCAAGAAAAATAATTCAAGTCACAGCACACTCCAGGATGGCCTCATCCTCAGAAAAATCAAGACAAAGCAGCAGGAAAAGCAATGCCTTCGCAAGAGCACTAGCAGAACTGCATCAAGTCCTCTATTCCACAATATTGCAGACAGGCAAAGCGTTAAGCCCTGACTGTTAAAATGCATAAATCACTGCCATATCCCATATCATTATCCTCACCACAAGTCAGAGCCCTACACAGGAGCAGGGCTGGTTCCTAATGCCTATTTACTGGCTACTGCTCCCACCAATGCTTCTCGAGCTTAGAGGCTGATGCCATGGAAACAAGATCCACACATGGAAACACACGTGAAGGCTTTCTGGCAAAAAAGCAAATTCTGCATCTTCACCAAGTGCTGAAAATTTGAGATACTGAAGCTGCTGCTAATAAAATAAATGAATTTTATCTGAGGTGTGAATAATCCTATCTGAGCTACTTCCCTAGGAAATATGCTAACACAAGCACAGACTCAGAAGTATTAGTACAAAAGAACTGCTCAGGCTGGTGGCTCATACTTACTGCCACATTCCCCTTCAGAAACACTACGTTAAGAAAAACAATAATAAAACAATAAATAATAATAAAACAATAATAAAAAAAAAACCACCCCACCAAAACAAGGTTTTGTTTAGCATGTAAAACACCCCCTGCCAAAGCAGCATTTTCTTCCTATATCTAATAGCAGCAGCTACAGAGCCTGGAAAATAGATAAAAGAACGCTGGTGACCTCAAACAGCTTTGTACTCTATTCACGTAGCTCTTACTCTCCCTACCATTCAGAGCCACCCGCTGCCCGGCTTATCAGGTTGTAAGGGAGTCAATCAAACAGCACTGGGTACAACCAGACCAGGAGCTGCTGTACTCTGCAGCCTCTCCAGTTCTGGGGAGCTGGTGCATGACAGCCACCCACGGCCAACATGTGCAGATGTGCTGGCTGCAGCTCTGCAGCCCCATGGGGGAAAAGCCACTGCAAAGCACAAATGGCTGGTGCTGCTGCACCCCTTTTGGATGGGTAACAACCACCTCAGTGGAAGTGCCAGCTTTGCCAACAATGACTGAAATCAAGCAAAATCACAAGGCATTGCTATTGCTGAAGGCGTTGCCCTGGATTCACCTTTGATGTCCCGGAGCGAGCACAGCATGTGCCATGTATCAGCTCCACAGAAGAATTTAGGAGACTGAGAGCACAAAGTTCACTACTTCTGCCTCATCACAGGGCATCACCACCTGACACACAGACTGACTTTGTAGGAACCCCCAAATAAAAAACACCCTTACCGGACTCTAAAGTTACCTGTCTGAAACAACAGCGTTGCTACAGGCTACACCGTCCACCTGCAGGACTCCTGCTGGCCTGCACATCTATGACTCAGAAGGGACCACACCAGGGAGGTGAAGCGAGGTTGCAGCTGCTTAATGGGCAGTGCTGCCTTGCAGGCATTTCATAACATCTTTTTTACAATAAGCTTTAAGGTAAACGTGACACCCTCTTTTCTTCATGACTCCCCACAACAGGCAACTATCAGCCAAGAACACATAATTTGCTGGTACAAATACAGACCAGCCAGAGAACAGCATTGCAGAACAGATGTTTTATGCTTACATTAGATGTAATAAGCTCTGCAGTCAGTACAGGTCACTGGGAGAAGCCTAGTATTTACTGCAGCAACCATAATTTTCCGGCTACTTCTCTTCTGTTCCCACCCCCAATGTGCTGCAGAGAAATTAAATTCCAACAGACATCTGCATGCTCCCAGTGGATAAGTACATTCAAGGGTACTTATAAACACACAATAATGCTTTCTAATTGGGCAATATTTTTACATTCTGTTTTAATTGAAAAAAAAAAACCCACTAATCTTAAAGACAAATCAGAGTGACTGCTGGTGAGCGAAGCATTCTGTGAGCCCAAGAAACACAGACACAATGCATATTAAAGTTTCTTCTCCGGAGGAAAATTTGAGAAGAGCTGTGCAAGGATATTGGGATCTCTAAATGATCAAAGATCTCACAGCACTTTACAACTTTACCTGAGGAAAAGAATGCTCAGGAACCGTTTTACTCAGAACTTATTTACCTTTTTATCTATGCTCTTTCAACCATACCTAAATTGTTTGTTTCTTCCCTTAAATTGTGTGTTAGCTGTTTTCTACCTAGCAATGGCTGCAGTTCAGATCCATCCATCCAGATTTAACACACGTGGTGAGAAGCAGCCAAGGGACCAGCATTTTATTAATCATAAATAGTCAGGACATAAGCTGCATGGATGGTGAGGAAAGACCTTAGCACAGCAACCACTAGCTCTGGGCAAAACACCAACATCTTTCTGCAGCCTGCAGAGATGCTTGTGGCCCAGTCCTAACAAAAATTAATTGACTGAATGTAAAAGCAGTGGGTTATACAAAATAAAGTATTTCACTTAAGACTAAAATATTTTAATATGTTAAAAATACTATATGAAGTATAAAAATAATGTTTAATATATTATATAAATATTCCTCTATACATAAAGAAAAGAAGGAAAAGAAGGTTATCTGCTCGAGGAGATGTTATCAGGGAAGAAGGTTCAGAGGAGAGGCGATGGTAAATGCAGAGCCCATCCCGCATGGATCCAGGATAGAGACCTTTCTGAAGAATAGCTGCCCCTCCTTTTGCTCCCCCCAAGTCCTACGAGGTAAGAAAGTATTGCTCTCTCTTTTGAAGACAGTAAAAAAACATATACAGGATAAAACTCATGCAGATATTTAGACACACAATCCCCCATTGATTTCAAAAGGTAAGTAAGAGACAAAATACCTTTTGGCAACAATCCCCTAAGGGACTTCCAAGCACTATAACAAAACAAGTCCGACAAAGTGTATAAAGATCCAAGTTTCAGACTAGTGCCTCGACCACAGGCTATTCTTTCTTTTCTTTCTGTACTCACAGGGCTCCGACTGAGGATCTGTTGTGCAACCCATCAGGAAAATCATCAAGACAGAACTGCAGGCAAAGGCAGGCTAGTGCTGCAGCAGAGAGGAAAGGACAGCACAGGGGTTTGCAAGGAAAGGGCACAGGGAGCTGGACTCACAAAGGGGATCGCAGAATGAAAATTCACAAGGATTCAAACATCAGGGTGCTTTGCTGGAACAACAAAAGGACCTTAACACCATTTATTTTTGGTTCACGGCCCTACAAGTGCACCTTAATTCCCTATAGTACAATTATTTCCCAAAACACTCAAGGATACAGAGGCTTCCATCACTTCCCAGAGATAAGAGCATGATGTACAAAACAGATTTCTAAGGCTGAATGAAGCTATGCTTAAGTTGCACCCAGATTCTAGTCACTACCATTTCTAACTTTTTAACTGCATAAAAGCATAGCTCTTGCAGGGGGGGAGGGGAGGAACAGGACACAGACAAGGGATGGATGATGCAACAAGGGAAGGAAACCATTAAAAGGGTGTGCACATAAGTACTTTTATCCAGGACTTCAACCA